GTTTTTACATATATATATATATATATATATACCCATGAAATCATTCCCACAGTCAAAACAATGGACACACATACATCACTCCCAAACGTTTTGTGTAAGATTTTGAAGAAGGGAAGGCTGGTCTGCAGTGTGCTGGAAAGATTGTAGTGAAGCAGAGCTTGGAAATGAGAAATCAGTCCAGGCTATTGCCGTGGTCCAGGTGAGAGAGAATGAATGTGTGAGGTCATGAACTAGGTGTAGTGGCAGTTTGCCTCCCCTAAGAGAATGGGTCGTTACAGGACAGGGTTGAATCCTCATCATTACATCATCTCTAGCACCTAAGCCAGTACAAGAGGCATTCACAGAAAGACAGGATTTTAAACTGTTTCTCCCTTTATTTTGTTTAGGGTTTAAAAGACAACCTTCTTTCTTTTGGGACACCCAGCCTGACAGCCACCAAACAATTGGTTCGTCCAAGAATCACAAGAGTGTGCCTCAGGGACTTGATATTCTGTATGGAACAGGAAAAGGAGATGAAGTATTCTCGAGCTCTGTACCTGGCCCTTCTGAAGTGACCACTCCACTCTCCGTGAAGATCCTTGCTGTTTACTGCCAAAGAAGATAAAAAGCATTGTTGCACTGTCCTGAAGTGTCATCACCAATATGGAAGGCCATTGTTTACAGTTATATACTTTTATTAATTACAAATACATCCCATGGGATTCTTAATGACCAGAATACAGCTTTGTCTTGTGAAAATCAGTGATGAAATACAATTTGCACAGAATTAAGTATCTCCCACCCTGTATATTTAATTAAAGCAAATTAAGGCTCTGTCTGTTAACTATCTGCTTTATTTGTCAAACTTTGTAATGAATGTGATATCTTTCCCTAATACAGCTTGCAGGGCAAAGAAAAAGAGCCACTGCTTACTAAGAAAACGTATGTAATCCTCTACTGACCTTTTCTCTGGGTTTGATTGGGTGGTATGGGTTGGGATCAGAAGTTTCTTAGCTGATTCTGACAGTCACTTCTTAGTTGAAGCTAGCGAAAGAGGCAGGGCCCACAATGACTTTGGCTGGCTGAGTCTGATGTCAAACCTGAGACAAATGGAGATCACTGCCTGAGTTGCTCTTCTCTGGTTCATATCACCATGTGCTGTTTCTGATGCCAAGTGAGGAGACATCCTTGTCAAGGCAACCTTAAAATTGAAGCTGCTGAAAGACCTTGATGAAAAACGTAAACGGTAGAAAGTAGTAGAATGAATGGTGGCATCTTGAGTTCAAACTGATAAGGGAAAATGAAAGTGGAATCATATCACAGAAAATGTGTTGCATATGCCCAGGAGGGACAAGGGTGGAATAGGAACTCCAGAGTAACCTGTGTGTGTTTTGTTGAAGGAAAAAAATAACAACACAGGTAAAAAGGAAAATGTATCAGCATATTCAAATTGCAGTATTTTAAAAAGTTCTTTTTTATTTTGTGTTGTTTTAAATCCCAAAAAGGATACTTAGAGTATCTGTTGTTCCTTTTCTCATAAAATTTTAGTTACTCTTAAGTTTTTTTTAAATATCTTGGTGCATTTAAAAAAAAATCTGAATTGGTGATTAGAAATTCTTGACATTAAAATTCCATTTTAGATTCTATACTTAAAAGGTAACATCAGCATTTCATTTTTGGGGAAGTACACTATTCATCTGAAGAGGAAGCTGATTTTTGTTTGTTTGTGTTTGTTTAAATACTACCTGTATTCCACCTGTGTGGAATGCACCTAATGAAAAATAGTAGCTGTAATTGAATCATATACATAAAGAATGAGTAAATCCTCCAAAAAGGTTTTAAAAATGAGAAGGCTCTGGTTGTTAGAAAAGGCATTCAAGGGGAAAAAAGCCTAAAATATGCTACTCTTCATCCTGTTTTTCCCATTGGGACTATTATGGCCACACTGTATACTATAGTAAGTTTGTAATAGCAATGTTTTTTGTTTCAGCAAATTATTACATAAAATGCTACAAACTGTGTATATGTTAAGAGTACTTTGAAAAGAGATATATACCCAAAGTTTGTTTTGTATATTTAAATGCTTAGCCTTATTTTATTTTTTTGTAAAGTGCAGCATATTCCCATATTTGTGTATAATCTTATTGGTAAGATGTTTAAAATTTCAAATACTTCATTAAAATAATTATTTTATTATAAGAATAGCTTTGCTCACTCACTGACTTTGAATACCAGTGTCAGTAGTCCCTGAAGTGCTCATTTATCTTGGGCAGTGGATCTTTCTAGGCCCTTGTAGTAAATAAGGTTGTGTGTCAACTTGGCTGGGCCTGATTGAGTGGCTGGGCAGCTAGATGTAGTTATTCCCCATGGTGAGATTGGTAATTAACTCCATGGTGGAATCTATTGGAGTGGCTGAGTAGTTACTTTGGGAATATAGACTGCTTCCAGTATATAAGAAGCAACTTTGAGGAAGGTCTTTAGCTTTTTGGCGCTCTTGAAGCCTGCATGTAGTCAAGTTTTTGTTCATCAGCCCTGCCAATTTGGGACTTCTTCTGGACTTGAATTAGTGGCCTGCTGTGTTTGGTAACATTGGGACTGTGCCTTTGTACTTGTCGACCTTGGGTTTGTCTGCCTCAGCATCCAGCAGCTGTCTGAGTGAAGAAAAGCCTCCAGCTTCAGTGGGCTGGGAGCAGGAGAGAGAGCTGAAGCCCGGGGTTGAGGGGCTTTCCCCCAGCCCCTAGAGCCTGGCACTTTGAATTCGGACTTCAAGCCTCGAAAATTGTGAGAGAGTAAACTCCTGTTTGTAAAAGCCATCCCATTTGTGGTATATTCCTCTCATAGCAGCACGAGGTGACCAAACCAGCCTGGCTTGTTACTCTGGAGTGTTAGCAATTGGGTTATGGAACCTCACTTTAGATTCAAGTCTGCTGTATCACTATCTTAAAAATAGTTGTAGTTGTGCATGTTATTTGACTCATTAAATAAGCTAGGGACTTTCATTATAAAAGTTTTTCTTGGCCCATTAAGGTTTCCTTACTAAGATAACACATTTTCAAAAGTTACCTTTAATACACATTTTAAAATTAGGTGTGAAATAGATCTTATGTGGCAAAGAACTAATACAGTATATCCAAAATACTCTTCCTCTCAATTTGCAAAATGGTGACCTTGGGTAGATTTGACCCTACAAAGCTACTCAAACAGTATTGCAGTGTTGAGTGTTTAATTCACAAAAGTCTGTATTTACTTCTTTTAAAAATTAGAAGATCTGAAATCATTAGGTACACCCTTTTGTATGGCAGCAGTCTACTGGGGCCAATCAATGCTGTCCAGTCCAGATAGGGGGGCATATTTATCTTCCTTTGTCTGATCCTTTTTAGCACTGGAGTTTGTAACCCTCTGCCTTTAATACTTATCTTGAGTGATGAACTATAAAAAGGAACAAGTATCAGAAATTCTCCATCTATTTACTTTTTAAAAACAACTTTTTAGCATATCAGAAAATTCACCCATTTTATCCATTTACAGTGTAACTGATCTTTAAATAGTCTCCTCCTGAACCTCTTTGACTCTTCTCCTCCCTCCCCATAAAAACAAAAGAAAAAATTTAACATTTAACCTATACTTAAAACTTGGCGTTTGAGGTAAATTTTGATTGATTAGAATTTTAGCAAACCTTTATGTGAAAGATTATACCAGTTATATCACAGATACAGCAAGGAATGCAAGCAATGTAAAGGTATATTCTTTAGAAAAATATGGAACCAAGATCTCATACTGATTAGGTTGGCCTTTAGCACTTAGCCTAATTGTACAATGAGTCAACTCAATGTTTATGAAACTTAGAACTGGACAGGACTCACTCAGTGATTCTGCAGGAGATAAAAGTATAACATGTCACATGTTTGTACATGATCTGGTGGCCAGTGTTTATTGTTTTTAGCATTACTATCATTTCAAACACCGTCATATCCCTCTCTGAACTGACACAACTTTTTTCAACATGTGGGTATGATACATCTGGTAACATCTTTTTCTCAGTGGCTTTTCAAACACCTCTTGGTTAGTACTCCCACACACATGCCACTTGCCTTTGTGCATCTTTTCACTGAAGTGTTTTCACTCATTTGGAAATGGGTCTGCAGAAGAATATTTTAATCACATTTTACTGTTGAGAAATATTTGAGAGGTTATGTTACGCAAGTAAAAAACCTAAAATCTTTACAACCACACTTGAATACTGACAGGTTAGGTGAGAGGAACAGATGTACAACCGTAATGGGGTTAGAATTTCTTTAGACTGTATCACATTACATTGGATGTTTATGGGAAGAAAATACTCCCAAGGAATTCAATTTAAAATCTTGGACTTTGTTGTTAAACCATTATGAGAGCAATTTTAATGGCAGCTCTTCTTTAAAATAATACTGTCAGGTTGCCATCTTTCTGAGTTTTCTTACTGTGGGTGGTATTGTGGATTAGCCTATGGGTAAAGCATACACTGTAGAGCAGGACTGCCTGGCTTCTCATCTCAGACCTCCTGCTTACCAGTTGTGTGACTGAGCAAATTGTTTATCTTCTCTGTGCTTATGTTTCCTCATAGTACCTACTTGTGATGCAGTGAATTGGTATGGCTTTTCTAGCCATAGCCTTTGTAACTCCTACCAGCTTATTGGGCAGGACCAGGCAAATAAGGTGTGTAGAACTCTGTTGTTTGGATTAGTTAGTTTTGTCACTCTGCCAGGCTTAAAATGAGCCTTCTAGTCTATGAGGCAAAACATGCTGCCACCCTCCAACCTTTTACCAATTCTGACACCAATCATCCCTCCCATGGCACTCACAACTTTTCTGCTGGGTTCAATAATTCATTGCAGTGACCACACACAACTCACAGACAATACTCATGATTATGGAGTGTATTAGGGAAGTAATAGGCTACAGTGCAGGTTGAGGAATGGGCTCAGGACACAATTCTATTAGGTCAGTCTCCCCTCTGCTGTGCCCTCAGATGTGCCTGTCTGGCCCTTGACCTCTCAGCCTGGCTCCTGCCCTGCTTGGGCAAATGTGACAAAGCTCTTTCAGCTCTGTTAATAGGTACACCTAAGTGCACCCCACTCCGTCAGCAAGCCTCCTGCCCAAGGGCACTCAGCTTTCTCACTCCATGGGCCAGGTAAGCCTACCACTCTGTCTTGTGCCTCTTGGTTCTACTGCCACTGTCTCTCAAAGAAAACATGGTTTGGAGAGGCAGAGAGGGGGATCTCACTGCTATCAAGAGAGAAGAGCTGGAGGTGAAGTGGAGCATGTCTTGGACTTGAGATCCCTGCATTGGACCTCCTTGGCAGAGACTCTCCAGCAGAGAGACGTGCTGGCAGAGAGATGATGGCAGTGGAACCACGAGGCAGAGCGGCGGGCTGACCTGGCCCGGGGAGTGAGAAAGCTGAGTGCCCTCCCTTGGGCAGGGGCTTGCTGACGGAGTTGGGTGCACCAGGGTGTACCTGTGGGCAGAGCTAAAAGAGCTTTGTAACCTTCGCCTAAGCTGGGCAGGGGCCAAGCTGAGAGGTCAAGGGCCAGAGAGGCGTGTTTGAGGGCACAGCAGAGGGGAGACTGACCTGATAGAAGAATTGTATCCTAAGTGTGTTCCTGAACCTGAATTGTAGCCTGTTATTTCTCTAATAAACCCCATAATCGTGAGTATTGTCTGTGAGTTCTGTGTGGCCATTGCAACGAATTATCAAACTCGGCAGAGAAGTCGTGAATGCCATGGGCAGGGTGGTTGGTATCAGAATTGGTAGAAGGCTGGAGGTTGGCAGCATGTTTGGCCTCATAGAAG